TGTTTTCTCTATAGGCACTTACACTTTCAATATACTATGAAAAATACACTTATCTAATTCATAGTCTATCTCTATTAGGCTAAAAGCTCTATGAAGGAAGGCTGTTCCAAGCATCTAGAACAATAGGAATTCTATAAAATATTTGAAAAACTGAATAAACATGCCTAGTACTCTTGGAAAGGGAAATGAATATGGTTCCTTCTTCAACCTGACCAGGTTTTTCTGTCTGGGTTTTGGGGAAGTGGGGGAGGGGAACTGTAGCTAAGATGGAGGAAAAGGTTGCTGGCTGTTAAGCAAGAGTTAACTGCGGAAGTCATAGTTGAACTTAGTTATGAAAGATGATCAGGAATTTTCCAGATCAAGAAGATGGTGAAGAGTATTCCAAATAGAAGGAACAGTATGTGCAAGAGCAGAACATTTTGCAAATTTATGGCATGGTCACAAAAGGCCAGAGAGCTGGGTATTTCCTCCATACACCAGGGAAGTATGGAGTAGGGAAAGTGAATTTGTGGGTCCAGAGAGGAGGCCTGGAGGGCTAGTCAGAACCAATCATGAAAAGTGGAGGCAGATTAAACCCTGGTCTCCCAACTCCCTTTCCAATGCTGTATTCACTGCTTTATACAGTTTCACTTTTCAGTCTAAAAGTTATTTTTCTTTTACATATTGTAGGCTGATACCTTTACCACCCACATTTTCCTTTATAAATAAATATGCATTCATGATCCAGGACTGTGAGATTTATGGTAGGTGATTATCAAAAAATAAGCACATTTTAAAAAGCAAAAAGCTGAAAGGACTCATGTTTTGAAATAGATTACAGATTTTTGATTACTTATATGCAAAATACTGAAATAATCAAAGCTTCCAAAGAAATGACAGTTGGTGTCTTAGAGAGAAAACTCTATAGGAAAAAAAGTACCTGTAATATAACATAGAGGGCTGTGGAAACAGATGTTAAGTTTTGGGGAGGACTGAAAAATATCCTCCAAATTTTTTGGTAACTGGCAACTGTTAAATCAACACTGAGATTATATTGACCATCATGTATCTGAATTGTTAAATTAGGAATGAAGAATAGGAAACTTTATGCAGTAAACTGATCATGGACTATAATATCATGTTTTATTCTTAAAAGTGGTATTTCTTATACTTTGGTTCTCCTTAACTTGATATGTAAACTGAAGATCTTGTACCTTTCAAACTTCATTAGAATTAAGTATTAAATATTAAAAATATGCAATGGCAGAACAATTATATGTATATTCAACAAATATTTGACAGCCTACTACGAGCAAAGAATACAATTTGGTTTTAGATTCCAAACACAAAATAAGACACAAAAGCAAGTAGCTATTTCTCTTTTCTTAAAATAACCATGAGGAATACATTGATCTATAGTGTAGAGAACAACCATTCAAATGAATCTGCAAATTTACAGTCTTGTTTGGTTTAAGACAAAACAGTTGTGAGAATCCACCAAAAGCCCTGAGGAAATCAGACCACTCCCATTGACTTGTATGCACAACTGACTAAGACTTGGTTGAAAACTGTATCTGCCTATATTTGCCTTCCAACAGAGATGTCATTTAGCTTCCTTATACTGTAGTGAACTCAGCCTCCATCTAGCCCTTGGGAGCCTGAACCACTGTAATAAGACCAATTTTCTATGCATTAACATATACGTCCGCAGTATTTCTTAAGTGCATTTCTTATAATATGTAGCAAGAGCCAATAGATGTTCTGTCACTTTGACCTAGCAACTCTACTCTTGGGAACTTATCCAAAAAGAACTAATTCCACAGAAGTAAAAATCTAGATGCACAAAATCTTTTAGTATAAGGCTACCTATAACAGCCAAAATCCAGAAGCAACCTAAATTTCTGTAACCAGAAAATGATTTAGAAAAGTATAATACACCAACAACATGTCCTATTATATAATCACTGAAAGCCACAACCATGAAAACTGCAGAAACTTCAAAAATATTTTTGATAAACCTGAAATCAAAAGGCAGTAATTTTTCACATAGTACTGTGACTATAAAAGTATAAAACCAGATAAGTGTGTGAAAGATTAAATGATAAAGTGGAAAAATGAAAACTGTTTTGGGATGGAGGAATAACGAGTTTGTTTTACTTATAAAAATGTTTCAAGTTTTGTTTTGCATCAACTTTTCAACTGAAGATTATGCCAGGCAGAATCAAGTCACACCATGTGGATATGTCCAAATAGATCACACATAAAAGCTGAATTTTTACAGAATTGACCCGTTTGTGTTTTCTGTGAGCTCCTTACTATAACTGTCTCTGTAGTATCATCATTTTTACCACTGTTTTCAACCTTGCAGAGCTGTTTCCAATATACATATGTTGGGCCTCATCTCAAACCTACCAAGTCTGAAACTCCAGAAGTGAGACCTGGGCATAAGCATTTTATTTTATTTATTATTTTTTTTAAATTGAAATACAGTTGCCATGCAATACTATGTTAGTTTCAAATGTACTCCATAGGGATACAATATTTGCATACATTACAAAATGAGCACCATGGTCAGTCTAGGAACCATCTGTCCTCATATAAGTCATTATGATATTATTGACCATATTCCTTATGTTGAATATCACAGGCCCTTGGCTTTTTTATAACTGGAGATTGCACCTCTTAATCCCCTTCACCTATTTTGCCCATCTCCCACCCCTCTCCCCTCTGGAAACCCTCCATTTGTCCTTTGCATCTGTGAGTCTGTTTCCATTTTGCTTTGTTTGTTGGCTTGCTTTGTTCTTCACAGTATTTTAAATTTACCTCCAGGCAATTCTGAGATTCAGCTAGGGTCAGAACCACTGATATCACTATGTAAGAGAACCAGTGACCTGAAAGCCAGCCTTTCCTGAAATTTAAAAGAAAACAAAAAACAAAAAAGCTTTGCAAACTACATTTTAAAGAAAAAACAAAAATTATAGTCAATGTTCAGGTGACATTTTCAATTTTCATTCCCTGAGATGTAGGAAAATGTAGCAAATGTGTTCACACAGCTACAACCGAAGGCATGCTTTCCTGAGGTCCTCAGAGCACATCAAACCAGAGAAGGAGGATCCTGGAGCCATCCCAGACCTGGCCCGCAAGGCAGGACCCCTGTGGCCATGGTGACCTTGTAACATGGCAGCAAGAGGCTCTTGGGAATTTCCCAGGAGGCAAATATTTCTTTCTTCATTAAATTTATATGGTGCTCAAAACACCCTACTCATCCCAGAGTTATTATTTTGATATCTAGCAATTTTCAGACACTCGGCTGCTCCCCGCAGGCACATGAAGCTCTGTTGCCTCCAGCATCCTCTATGGCAGTGTCAGTGCAGGCACAGGAGGAGCAGTGAAGTCACTCAGTCGTGTCCGAGACCCCATGGGCTCCTCCCAGCCAGGCTCCTCCATCCACAGTATTTTCCAGGCAAGAGTACTGGAGTGGGTTGCCATTCCCTTCTCCAGGGGATCTTCCTGACCCAGGGATCGAACCCGGGTCTCCCGCACTGCAGTCAGACGCTTTTACCGTCTGAGCCACCGGGGAAGTCCAGGTGGAGCAGAGTCCACCACAAACAGTCCGCTCAGATCTGTCCTAATGATGAGGCCTCTCCATCTCCCTCTTCCAAAATGAGCACCGTACAATCCATTCTCCTGTTGGCTAGTGGTTCTTTCCTTTCCTCTTCGATTTATAGGTTCTATGAACGGGCCACTATCTCAGAACACTAGAGTTGGGCGGAACTTGCCCCAATTCTTTTAAGTTGAGAAAACTAAGGCCCAAAGAGGATAATGATTTGCCCAAGATCACATAATTTTGATGAGGCAAAGCTGCTTCCCTGTCTTAAAGTCCACTCTTCTTCATTATTATTATTATTAGGAAACTTCTACAACCAACCCACAGGCTTCAGGGCATGTGCCTGAAGTTTTTCTAGTAGTGGGGACAGTTGGAAGTGATGCATCCACACCTCTCTTGCCCAGCCACCCTGTGACAGGTAACATATTTCTGAGACATCTGCTGTGATGTATTGAAATTGTTCAGATGGGTTATCCTGGGATGGAAGCTAAGAGAGGCTGAACTTCTGACACTGGCCCTGTTAACACACCTCCTAAGAGGAGGTGGTATTTGAGTAGAAAAGGAGAGGCAAGAATTGTTTGTAAGCCTATGTACCTACCTTCACTGGTGACTCAGTCAGTAAACAGTCTGCCTGCAATGTGGGAGACCCAGGTTCAATCCCTGGGTTGGGACAATTCTCTGGAGAAGGAAACGATGACCCACCCACTCCAGTATTCTTGCCTGGAGAATTCCTTGGACAGAGGAGCCTGGTAGGCTACAGTCCATGGGGTCACAAAGAGTCGGACACGACTGAGTGACTAACAGTTTCACTTCACTTTCATATACCTTAGATTGCATGTCAACCACTCTCCAGAAAATCCTGAGTGTGAGTTAAATAATAGGATACAGAGCTTTTTCAAAATTTTTTATATTCAGGCAGTTGGCAAAACATGACTGAGATATAGTCTAAATTACCTGAAAGGATTTAGTATTTGGAATTCTGTATCCACTTTTGTTAGAGAAAAGATTACAGAATGGAACTGCACAGCAGCCAACTAAGCGCCATATTGCTGGATGTGTCACTGACAGGACAGACTGAACTGTATCCTCCCTAAATTCACATGCTGAGGCCATGTGACTGTGTTAGAGATAGGGCTCTGAGGAGATGGTTAAGGTTAAGTGAGGTCACCATCTCTGATCCCACACCCACTCCAGGATTCTTGCCTGGGAAATCCCATGGATAGAGGAGCCTGGTGGGCTACAGTCCACGGGGTTGCAGAGTCGGACACGACTGAGTGATTTTCACAAGAGACACCAGGGCTCTCTCTCTCTGCCACATGAGGACACAGCAAGTAAGCAGCCATCTGCAAGCCAGGAAGGTGTTCTCACCAGAACCTCACTCTGCCTGGACTTGCAGCCTCCAGGACTATGGAAAATGAAAGTGTGTTGTATAAGCTACGCAGCCTATGATATTTTGTTATGGCAGCCTGAGCAGACTGCAACAGGAATCTCCAAACACCACATGGACTCTCTGGGCTTGGTGTTCCAGACTTCCCAGCGTGGGCCCAGGAACACCCAGTGCTCCCTGTCCAGACCACCAAGTGTCCAGCTTTGGTTGGGAAAGTCCAGAATCGGTAACAGCAATGTAAGTTCTGCCACCTTTGCCAGCTGTTCACAAACAGGGTATTCTGGAACTAGGTGCTTTCATATACAAACAAGAAAGCACAACTACACACCAATGAATGTAATCGCTCGTTCAACAAATAGTCACTGAATATCAGCTATATGTTGGCCACACAGGCATGAGGGATATAGTGATAAACAGAACAGACGAAACTTCCTGTTCTCAGCCAGCTGATCCTCTCTTGAGGGAAGATAGATGATAAATGAAATAAGTAAAATATTAATATATGATGTGCTAGACAATGATAAGAAAAATTAAGCAGCAAGGAGGCTAAGGAATTCACGTGATTTGCAATAGAGATGTCAGGGGACATCGTCTCATTAAGAAGGTGCCAGAGGAGTAAAAACCTGAAAGAGGTAAAGGAGCGAACCAAGCATATGTCAGCAAAAGAACATTCCAGAATGGTAGAAAGGACTGAGGCATGTTGGCAAACACCAAGATGGGCGGTGTGGCAGAGAGAAGAACTGGGGTGAGAGAGATGGTGGACAGATCACGCAGAGCTTGTCAACCAGTCCATTAACTTCACCCTCGACTCTGCACAGAGCAGCAGTACGACCTTACATTCTACCAGAATCTCTCAGGCTGCTGGGCTGGCAAAGCTGCTGTGGAGTAAAAGCTTGGAACATATGCTCTATTGGCCTCCTAGGGCTGTTGTAACCAGTTACCACACATTGGTGGCTTAAAACAGAAGTAATATATTCTCTCACATTTCTGGAAGCTATTTCCAGGTCTGGAAGATAAAGACCTGAAATCAAGCAGTCAGCACCACTGGTTTCTTCTGGAACCTCTGATGGAGAATCTGGCCCATGCCTCCCTCCCAGCTTCTGGTGGTGCAGCAACCCCTGGTGCTCCTTGGCTTGTAGCTGCATCACCCCAATCTCTGTCTGCATCTTCATATGACCTTGTCCCCAGTGTACATTTCAGCATCTGAATCCAAATCTCCCTCTCCTTTCTCTTATAAATACTCTAGACATCGGATGTCGGGCCCAGCCTAATCCAGTATGACTTCATCTTAACTAATTCAATCTGCAAAGACCTTGTTTCCAAATGAGGTCACATTGACAGCTTCTGTATGGACATGAACTGGAGAAGATATTATATGACTCACTACACATACCTGACATTAAATACTTCATTTAGGCTTATAATCTGAGAAAAACCAGTCTCAAAAAAAAAAAAAAATCAATGCTAAATTTAGATCCCTACTGTTTATAGGAAGGAAAACATCATGTGAAGCACTGGTGGATCCTTCCATAAGATGGAACTGGCTGAAAACAGATTATAAATTAAAATGTCAAACAAAGTCCAGGTCTGAGGAACTAATCTGTTGGTTTTCTTTTTTTTCCCCCTAAGTAATAGTAAACTTATATGAACATGCACATATGAAAAGAACACCAAAAAAGGCTTTCCACAAAATTACTTTCAGTAATCACATTTTTAGCCCTGGCTCTGGGAGTGAATGACCTTGACTCTAGCAATAGGGTCAGCAGATCTGTACTCAGGTCTCAAAGATAAAGGGAGGGGTGTTGCTGTTGTTGTTGTTTAGTTGCTAAGTTGTGTCCAACTATTTGTGACCCCGTGGACCATACATAGCCTGCCAGGCTCCTCTGTCCATGGTACTCTCCAGGCAAGAGTACTGGAGTGGGTGGCATTCCCTTCTCCAGGGGATCTTCCTGAGCCAGGGAACGAACCCGGGGCTCCTGCATTGCTGGCAGATTCTTTACTGACTCAGCCACCAGGAAGCCCAAAGGTAGTGGAGGGGCTGCCAACCCTTTTCTGGTGACTTAAAAAAAAATTTTTTTAAGTTTTTATTTACGTATGTATTGATTTGGCTGCACCTGCTCTCAGTTACACTGTGCAAACTCTTAGTTTTGGCATGTGGAATCTAGTTCCCTGACTAGGGATCAAACCCAGGTGCCCTGAGTTGGGAGCATGGACTCTTAGCCACTGGATCATCAAGAAAATCCCTCCTAGTGACTTTTAAAAAAGGGGCATGTTTGTGTCCCAGGAAACAAAAATGTGGGATAAATTCAACCTCTGTAAATAAAAATAGTGAAATTCTTAAGTACCACATCTCTTCCCCAGGCGCATCCATTTGCCACCCTGCTCCACAAGGCCTTCGGAACCCAGTTCACTGAGGTTCAGGAAAAAAATCCCAGGAGCGAAGGTCAGCAAGGGCAGCATGGTGCTTTGCCTCCTTTACCTGCCCGGTTTCCTGCAGCCAGCTGGGCTCCTCAGATGGCCTGGTCTCAGCACAGTTTTACACAGCTGAGTCCACCTCAGAATAAAGTCATGGAACGTTTCTGGAGAAGCTATTCAGCACAGGAAGCTGCTTCGAAGCCACGAGTTAGTGATGTCTGGTGATCACAGGAATTCTCTCTCTCTTTTGTGCATTTCAGTCTTTTACACGCACATACACACACACACTTCACACAGTCTTTAATGCATCGCCTCTTCTATACACCACCCCCAACTGTTCTGGTCTGGCTTTTCCTTTTTTCCATACCCTCTCCCCACACATGAGCACTCAGTAACAGCCCCCCACCCCCCGCCAGTACCTAACCTTCCTGAGCACCTGCACCACCAGCCTTTCCACACAGGTGGAATGCTGTCCACCGGATACAATCCTGCCCCTTCCCATCCTGTGTGGCACATGGAGCTGGAACCAGACCACAGCTCAAATCAACTTGCCTCCAACACGGGCTCCACGCACAATGCTAGGCCTGTTTGGGGGAAAGGCACCCGCCAAAGCCTCCACTTGTGAAGACAGACACCTCTGCTGCTTCTCCCCACAGACAACCCACTGCCCCCAGAGCCCATACTTTCTGTATTTCAACACCAAGGCTAGAGGGAAGCACAGAAGTGTGAAAGCCCAAAGAGAGGTAATGACTTTCATTGAAAAGAAAAAAAATTTTTTGGCATACCTTTTCATTAAGATTCAGCCTCTTTTGACGAAATATCAGTTAATTCCCACCTTTTTTCTAACTCTCCTGGGTCTCACAGCCATTTTCACGTTTTCCTGAGTGCTCCCTCTGGAGATAAGCTTGGCCTGCAAAACGCAGATCTGAGGAACTGAAGAAAAATGAGAGGTGCGGGGAGAAAGACCCTCTGCACAAGCCGAAGAGGGGCCAGTCCTAGCCCCAAGATGGACACAAGGATCACAGAAGACGATGCACTCCCTAGAGCTCAGCTAACTGAGACACGGGCGTCGAGAGGGGCCACGAGGACAGCGGCACTAACTTCCTATATTTCGGCCAGAGGAAAATGGTCTTTCGCACTACAGGACTTATAAAATCCGACTGAGCGTCCCCGGTGCAGAAAAGGTCTCCTGGGAACTCCCTTTCCAGGCGCTGCACACACCCCGCCAGGAGAAGCGCATGCGCGAACATGTCACGTGGTGTGCGCTTCAGCCGGATTAGCCCCAGAAGCGGAAGTGGTTCTAAAGTTCTGTGGGGTGCTAGAACTTTGAAGCAGAGAAGTCTGAATATGTTTTTCTTTAGTATACCTCAGACTAGGGGCCGGTTATTTGGAGCGCACTTAGAATTTAGGATGAGGTCACAGAGAAGCTGCCTTAGTTTGCAGTGAGTCCGTCTCAAGAAGAAATTTATTAAATGGTTAGGTCAGAGCTGTGCTAAATCAAAAAGACTTGGGACGATTCGTTAGTGAAATACCATGTGTTGGCTTTAACTGGGTTCTGGTTGGCAAAAGACGTTTTGAGAAGCATCATATGTTAACATTAACTGAAAATTAGGTTTTCTTGGGGAATCATTAGTTTTGTTAGGTAACCAGGGAAGGGTCTAAGAAGGAAAAATACTTAAAATTTTCAGATACACATGTTGAAGTATTTAGCCATCTAATGATGTTTGGAATTTGTTTTAGAATATTTAAACTTGCTAACTCAAAGATATGGGGTAGGGACTTCCCTGGTGGTCCAGTGGTTAAGAATTTGCCTTCCAATGCAGGAGACACTAGTTTGGTCCCTGATTGGGAAATTAGATCCCATTGCCAGTACTAAGACCTGCTGCAGACAAATAAATTTATAAATAAAAATAAATATTAGAAAAAAGATGTTATCTGGGGTTTGTTGTAAACCATTCCAGGAAAAATGTTGATAGGGGAATAGATTAAAACAAGATTGACAGTATAGATATTGCTAAAGCTGAGAAATAGGTACTATTCTCAAATATTTTCACATGTTTAAAATTTCCATAGTGAACATTTGAAATGTACAATTTTCAATAGTGTGATTTAGGAAAAAAAAAACACTATAGAGAGAACACTATTTCAATACATTAAGTTGTTCACACAAATAATCAAAAATCTAAAATAGAAAAAAAGATTCAGTCTCTTTTGCCCTACCTTTGGTTTCATGCTTTTTCCTGTAAATAGTAGCATATTAAATACATTGCTGTATGCCTTGCTTTTTAATATATCTTTATTGATACATTGAAGAAGGAAATGGCAACTGCTCCAGTATTCTTTCCTGGGAAATCCCATGGACAGAGGAGCCTGGTGGGCTACGTATGGTCCATGGGGTCAAAAAGAGTCAGACACAATTTAGCGACTAAACAATTGATGCACATTTTACATATCATATAATTCACCCACTTCAAGTGTAAAATTCAATTTTCTTTTGTAAGTTACCAAGTTGTGCAGCCATAACCTTAAGGCAGTTTTCAGTCTTTTCCATCACTTCAATAAGATCCCTCAGGCCCATTTACGACTACCCCTCTCCACTCTCACCTCCCTCAGGCCCAGAAAACCTCCTTTGCGTCCTGATTAGCAACTGTGATAAAAATAATTCTTAGTATTGTCATCCGAGTCTGAACAGACTTGGCCAGTTTCCGTTCCATCAGAAGAACTAGGCATTTCACAGTGGACTATGCCATATGCCAAAACCAAGTCCACCTTATAAACTCCTGAGGTGAGGGAGACCCCTTTCCTCTGGTCGGAATATAGGACGTGAACAGTTTCAGGTATTGAAACAGTGTTCTCTCTGGAGTGTTTGGGTTTTTTAATATAAATCACACTGTTGAAAATCACACATTTCAAACTTTCACTATAAAGATTTCAAGCATATAAAAGTATTTGAGAATAGTACCTAAGCCCATGGTAGACGCTATGGTAAAACTGCAGGATGGGAGAGGAGAGAGTAGGCCACGGGAGCACATTAAATTGTGCTTGAACCCACAGGCTCTTTTGCCCCCAAACCATACCATAGGGGCTGCCCCCTAAACCAGCTTTGCCAAGAACAGCCTTTTTAAAAAGTTTTGAAAACTGAACTTCCCGGGCGGTCCAGTGGTTAAGAATCCACCTGCCAATGCAGGGGCCACGGGTTTGATCCCTGGTCTGGGAAGATTCCATCTGCCACAACTAAGCCCCACGCACCACAACTACTGAGCCCGAGCCCCTAGAGTCCACGCTCTGCAGCAAGAGAAGTCACTTGCAGTGAAAAACCTGGCACTGAACTGGAGAGGAGCCTAGAGAGCGCCCACGCCCAGCAGCGAAGGCCCAGTGCAGTCAAAAAATTTTTATTAAAAAAAAAAAACAAAAAGCTTGAAAACCAAATTCACAGGGAAAATGACTACATGCTGGAGTCTTCCATTTTCTTTAACTTTTTAAAAAGTAATTAAAACAAAATCCTGGCTGATTGCAACCAAATGGGTTTTTCATAGATAGAAAACAAAAGTTGCCATAAAACGCCTGAATCACTATCCCCAGGTAGACAGGAAAACACCTGTCACTGACCGTTTGGAATTTTTTTTAAAGAAAGGAAAAAGTCAAAGCAAACACAGGAATCAAAACTCACAGAAATCAAGTTCAAACTCCCATCAAGAGTGTTTTGAAGAGCAGTGATCACAAAATGAAAAGAAAGGTGAACAAGTCGAGTTGTAAGGCAATTTGATTTACAAAACAAACAACTCTTGCTGCCTGTACTTTCCTCTGTGCTCTGTGAGAGGAAGAACACAATAGATCCTCAACAGTGAATATTTGCCTAAAGAAGGAGTAAATGAATGAGGGCCTATCGTTTCCTAAGCACTATGCAAGAAATTTGAGGATCAAAATGACAAAGATCTTGATCAAGAAATACAAGAACAGTGAAGAAGAAGATATATATGCAAATAATTTCTATGTAGTGTGATAATCACTGAAAGTAATTTCAAGGTATAGAGATAGCTCAAGATGTAGCGAAGCAGTAGTGAATACAGTTGAGGAAGGAGGAAATGACTAGAGAAACTGCATGTGCTCATATTCTCCAGGAAAGCAATGACCAGGAGAATATTCTAGGTAGAGGAAATAGCTTCCCAAGTGGCTCAGCAGTGAAGAATCTGTCTGCAGTGCAGGAGACACAAGAGACTCGGGTTCAATCCCTGAGTTGGGAAGATCCCCTGGAGAAGGAAATGGCAACCCACTCCAGTATTCTTCCCAGGGAAAATCCCATGGACAGAGGAGCCTGGCAGGCTACAGTCCATGCAGTCATCAAGAGTCAGACAGCACATCAAGTACTCTCTAGAGGAAATAGCATTTGCAAAGGGAGTGAGTAGTTGAGTTTAACTAGAGCATTAAATGTATCAAAATGGGTTTCCTCCCTGAGCCCTGGGGCAGAACTAAGGTGAAGGAAGTCCTGGGTGAGGTTAGAAGTGGGAAGCAAGAAACAGTTTGATGGTCAAGTCAAAGAGGTCAATGGAAAGTGAGAACTGAACACGATATAAAGGGTCTTCAACAGAGGAGAGACTAGATAGTGTGAGCAACAGGGTGCGGAATAATGGAACAAATTTCTTGTCCTAGTTTATGTACAGGAACTCAGAACTAAGGATGTAGAAAAGTGGCAGGTATTGAAGTCACAGCTTTGATGGAATGAGGTGGCAGGTGAAACGGTATGTAAAAATTGTGGTAGGACAGTAGATGTACTAGTTAGAAGGAAAGGAAAGCTCTTCAAATACTCTGTTCAATATTCTGTGGATAAGGGATAGTATATGGGTAAATGTGAACTTGGGGGGGACTTCCCTTGTGGTCCAGTGGCTGAGACTCCATGCTCCCAATGCAGGGGACCCAGGTTCAATCCCTGGTCAGGGAACTAGATCCCACATGCTATAACTAAGACCCAGTGCAGCTATATATATATATATATATATATATTCACTTGGATGAATTTAAACAGCATCTCCTAAACCAAAAGAGAAACAAATAAAGTGAAAGAGTAGATATCAGGATTGTTAAGATGGGCTGAAAAAAAAAGTGAAAGTGATAGGCACGCAGTCATGTCCAACTCTTTGTGACCCCCATGGACTGTATCTCACCAGGCTCCTCTATCCATGCAATTCTTCAGGCAAGAATAACGGAGTGGGTTGCCATTTACTTCTCCATAAGATGGGCTGGGTCAGAATAAATTACCATTCTGTCTGATAAAGTTACAGAAAGATCTTTGTGGATAAACTTGCCACCCCCACACAGAAGTCTACTTTGACCAAAAGAGCAAAAAGAGTAAGAAATACTGCTTCTTGGAACATACTGGAAAATCTTTTCTTTACTTAAAAGAGAGGAAGCCTCTTCTAGCCCTAAATTTATGGCACATTGCTCTTGCTATGCAGAGGTCCTTTGGCTGACAGGATGTGGTACATATCCTCCTTTACAGGGCTCTTGAAAACCTTTTCTCAGTATTGGCCAGGATTTAATGATACAAACAATAGTTGAGACTCGCCCAGACCAGAACACCACAAGATATGTGAATCATAGCTTCCCACTATCAAAAGGCATGTGATACACTGGTCATTGACCCATAACCTAAGAGAATACCTTTCTTGCAAGTGGCGAATCCAGTGTGACTTTGATTAGAGTACAGAGATAAAGAGCTGGGTGTGGGAGCAGGAGCCTTAGGAGTGGGGGACAGAAAAAGGGAAATAAAATCTCTGACTCAGACAATAATGAACTTAAAGAGAAAGGGACAGTCTGAGGTATGAGATTCAAAGGGGTTTACAGAGAGCAAGACCCAGATTACAATGGAAGTGGAGACCAAGAAGCC